ACCCCTCTCTACATCACCACCACCCTTTCTACACATCACCACCCCCCTCTCTACACCACCATCACCACCCCTCTCTACATCATCACCATCACCACCCCTCTCTACTCATCACCATCACCACCCCACGCCACCATTCCTCTCTACATCACCACCACCACCCACATACGCCACCAGCCCTCTCTACATCAGCACCACCACCAGGAGGCCCCAGTCGCCACGGACCCCTCCCTAACGCGCTGGGTACCTGCTGCTTGGCCTTGCGAGTAGCTTCCCATGCGGGTGAGGGCACAGGGGGGGGGGGCCTTAGAGGGGGCACAGGCCCCGGCTTCCCCGAGCCGGCTGTCCTCCTCCTCTGCTTCCCGGCGTCTCCCCCAAACCCCCTGCTCCTATCTCTCACTCACTGCTGCTGCTGCTCAATTCCCTACTGCACAAGCGCACACCGCGTCGCCTATGCGCGCTGCGGATTGTGGAGCCGGGCCCACGTGGCTTGTTTAAAGGGACTCAGCCGGCCACGTGGCGCCAGCATCACCGCCGCCACCACCATCATCATCATCGCCGCCACCACCGCCACCACCACCATCATCATCAGCTGGATGATGGCATCGCCAAGTGGTCATCATCATCAGCCATGGGTCTATTCACTGCTGGATGATGGCATCGCCAAGTCGTCATCATCATCATCAGCCATGGGTCTTTTCATTGCTGGATGATGGCATCGCCAAGTGGCATCATCATCAGCCATGGGTTTATTCACTGCTGGATGATGGAATCTATAAGTCATCATCATCATCAGCCATGGGTTTATTCACTGCTGGATGATGGAATCTATAAGTCATCATCATCATCAGCCATGAGTTTATTCACTGCTGGATGATGGCATCGCCAAGTGGTCATCATCATCAGCAGCCATGGGTTTATTCACTGCTGGGTTGAATGCAATTTGTCTGAGACGATTTTCGTTACTTGTCATCCCATTGAGCAGCGCCTATACACGAGCGGCGTCAACAGAATGTGGCCGAGCCGCACGATAAACCCCAGGCAGTTCGTTTATATCGAACACCGATGATTCACGTTTGTGCAATTATTTTCTATATATATTTTTTACAATTTCCGATGCGAACAAGCAGTTTGTTGTTTTGGTTGTTTTTGCCTCCGATTTTGCTATTCGCTTCATTGCCGTGCATGGTCGAGTCGGTGACCCGCGGGGGTCGCTCTTGGAGTAAAAGAGAACTGGCCCGGCCTTTTTGGAGTTCTCTCTCTCACCTGGTGCGAACACAACGGGCGTCGAGGTGAACTCGGCGGGCTTCCAGACCTCGCCACTGCCCTGCAGGGTTGCACTACAAGTTCCGTGCATATAGGATCGCCTCTTCTTCACCCCCCCCCCCCCCCCACGGGCAGACACAAAGACAAAGATCCCCCGTGTAGCCTTAACAGACTGTAGGGGCAAGTGCTGTTAGCGAGCACCTGTGAAGGCCGGGGGTGGGTGGCCGGCACCAAAGTGGCGATGTTCACACACCGCACCGGGTACTCATTTGAGGCGGAGTCGACCTAGGGGAGGCCCGGCACCGGTTTAGATAATCGTCACGGGGTGTTGGCTGTAAGCGGGGAATCGCTGTCCGGTTCGCCGGGGTTCGTGGCGCAGCGCAGGGCGCTGACCGCTCCACGACACGGCCGGGTGGACAAGGAGGACACACGGACAGACAGAGCGAGTGCAGCAGCAGCAGCTGCTGCTGCGTGAACGTCCCACGCAGGGGAGAGGAGGAGGAGTGGTCACCTCCCTCCTCCTGCCGGTTACCGCCGCGACCTTCACGGCGCCTCCCTGCCCCGGGGCCGGGGAGCGCGCGAGAGAGCTCCCTCTGCTAGCCAGCCGCCGCCACCACCATCCGCGCGTGGTGGTGGTTGTGGTGGTGTCTGGGTGGGTGCGCAGCGGGTGGTGGTGGCATAGCTGTGTGGTTGTGGTGGTGTCTGGGTATTGGCGGTGGAAGGTGGCTTTCAGAGTGGTGGTTTGCGCAGCGGTGGTTGGGTGGCAGTAGCTGCGTGGTTGGTGGCTGAGTGATGGTGGTGTGGTCGCGGTGGCTGGGTCGTGGTGGCTGGCTGTTGACAGCTGGGTGGTGGTGCTTGGGCGTGGTGGTGGCGGCTGGGCGTGTGGTGGCGGCTGTGGTTCAAGGCTTGGCAGGCACAGAGCTCCCTCAATGTCCCAGTTTGAACCCTTGGGAGAGAGGACCGCTGGGTTCATAGAGCCGGCGTCCCGGTGTTCCCGTGTTCTGACCTCGTGCTGAACTGCGATCATGGGCAGTGGCTCGCGAGCGACTGGGTGGGCTAACGAGCGAGTGGGTGGGGCTAGTGAGTGGGTGGGGCTAGCGAGTGGGTGGGGCTAGCGAGTGGGTGGGGCTAGCGAGCGAGTGGGTGGGGCTAGCGAGCGACTCGGTGGGGCTAGCGAGCGACTGGGTAGGGCTAGCAAGCGACTGGGTGAGGCTAGCGAGAGACTGGGTGGGGCTAGCGAGAGACTGGGTGGGGCTAGCGAGAGACTGGGTGGGGCTAGCGAGTGGGTGGGGCTAGCGAGCGCCTGGGTGGGGCTAGCAAGCGACTGGGTGGGGCTAGCGAGAGACTGGGTGGGGCTAGCGAGCGACTGGGTAGGGCTAGCAAGCGACTGGGTGGGGCTAGCGAGAGACTGGGTGGGGCTAGCAAGCGACTGGGTGGGGCTAGCGAGAGACTGGTGGGGCTAGCGAGTGGGTGGGGCTAGGGAGCGCCTGGGTGGGGCTAGCGAGCGACTGGGTGGGGCGAGCGAGTGGGTGGGGCTAGCGAGCGAGTGGGGCTAGCGAGCAACTGGGTGGGGCTAGTGAGCGACTGGGTGGGGCTAGCGAGCGAGTGGGTGGGGCTAGCGAGAGACTGGGTGGGGCTAGCGAGCGAGTGGGTGGGGCTATCGAGCGACTTGGTGGGGCTAGCGAGCGAGTGGGTGGGGCTAGCTAGCGAGTGGGGCGAGCGAGTGAGTGGGTGGGGCTAGCGAGCGGGTGGGCGGGGGCTATGCAGAAGTGGGCGGGGCTACGCAGAAGTGAGCTGTGTGGATGGAGGCGTTGCCGGCTCGCCACGTGCCGCCAGTTCAGCCTCGCAGACCACGTGGTATAAATTCAGATGACCTCACAGATCGGCGGAACTCCCAATGCCCAAAATGAGCTGCGAGCACATGGCAAACGCAGTATAGCAAGTGGGTTTCGTGAATCCATCCGTGCGGGGCCGGGTGGAAAGGGAGGGGGAGTAAGGGTAAAAATTGTCTCCGCCCCCCATCCCTTCCTCGTGTGTGACGGCTATCCTCCTAACACTTTCTCACGCGACGTGAAAACCGCTCACGATTTGAGAAGGAATCCTCTTGCCCCATGTCCAACGATGCAAGACCCCCCCCCCCCCGCCCTGCCGCCCCCCCCTCTCGCCAAACCTCTGGGAACTCGGAAGGCTTTCCCGTAAAGATGAATAACATTACCAACCCACACCACCACCACCCACTACTACCACCACCACCACCATTCCTGCTCGTGCAGCAGAATCGTAGTGCGCTTGGAGAAAAATCAACACCGCTGTGTGAGCCCCAAACCCCCACGCACGCGCGTCGGATCTCGCAAGCCAAGCAGGTTTCAAGCCTGGAGAGAGCTCAGCTGGGCTCGGGAGGTGTCGTTATCGGCTGCCGCCGCCGCCGCTGCTACAATGGGTGGCAGCCGATTGAGGACTGGTGCAGCGAAAACGCCCCTTGTTGTACTGCACTCCTACGCTCTCCCGCCCCCGGCCACCGGATGAACCCGCAAGCGAACCGGCTTGGCAGGGGTTACAAGACAAAGGTCACCCGGAGTATAGCCTCGACAGACTGCTGGGGCAAGTGCTGTTCGCGAGTAGCGCGTGTGGAGGTCGGCACGGCGCACGAGAGGGTGGGGGTGGGGGTGGTGGGGGGTGGTGGGTGGTGAGGGGGGGTAGTGGGAGGGGAGTGGTGGGTGGGGGTGGTGGGGGTGGTGGAGGGGGTGGGGAGTGGTGGGTGGGGGGTGGTGGGAGGGGGTGGGGGGAGGGGTGGTGGTGGGAGGGGGTGGGGAGTGGGGGGGGGGGGGGTGGGGGGGTGGTGGGAGGGGGTGGGGTGGGGGGAGGGGTGGGTGGGAGGGGGTGGGGAGTGGGTGGGAGGGGGGGAGGTGGGGGTGGGGGGGGAGGGGGTGGGGGTGTGGTGGGAGGGGGTGGTGGGAGGGGTGGGGGGTGTCTCAGCAGGCTACCCAAGGGGTCACGGGCACACGGGGACTGCACGCAGCACCGGCGTGGGGCGAAGATGCCCTCATCCAAGCAGTGCATGGGCAGTGCATGGGCAGTGCACTGTATTAATAATGACTACTACGACTTCACTGTCGTAGTGGTATGTGGCCCTGTACACTCTCCCACACACGTCCACGCCCTCCCCTCCCACCACCACCGCCTCCTCTCTTCCAGACACTGCCAGCAGCAAACTCCCTGCACAGTGAACAGAGGGCGTGGGGGAGGCGGACAGAGCCTTCAGTCAAGACACTGAAGCATGGAAGGAGAAGAGGGAAGCTGTGGGTTCGGCTTGTGGTAACGAGTCGAGCTGAGCGAGAGCAGAGAAGGCGGCTCAGTGGGGGGTGGGGGGGGGGGGGGGGGGGGGGGAATAAGAAAGTAGTCAGGCGCAGCTACGCGCAGGGACGGGATGGAAGGTGATACCCGGGAGATGGCAGAACCGCTCGTGGAAGAAGAAAAAAAACGCCCTTTGTCTAAAGCAGTGGTTCCTCACGTTGTGAAACCTGTGGAGCACTGCCACTCACTGCCACCCGCCTTGCCGCGTGATGGAGTCATCAGCAGCAGCAGCCCAACTCTCTTCTCGCCCCCTTCACTGGAACAAACTCCCTCCCCTCCCTCCCGCTCCTTCCCATGGAGCGGTCATCTCCGCTCACTAAAGTTTCCGCTCCTCACTCAAGACTCACTTCTTGTTACCCTGAGCTAACCCCCACGACACCCCTCCCCAAGCCCCCCCCCCCCCCTTAATCTCCCCATCATAACCACCACCGACCGCTACTGCTCCTTCGTATTCTCATGACACGGCTATCACTCATTGACCCCATGCATTCATTCATTGACCCCATGCATTCATTCATTAACCCCATGCATTCATTCATTAACCCCATGCATTCATTCATGCAAATCGTCATTTACTGTCATCAATGTCGCTTTCACCGAATTCACGCAACCATCACAGATTCTTCGTCCCCGCATCGCTTCCTCTCACCGATGCCACTCACCTCACCACCACCATTATTATCACGACATTCGCACGTCGCGCTGTTGTTAACTCTTTGTAAGTTAAGGATCTCCAATGTCGAGGTCTCAGATGGCCACGAGAGAGAGTGGAGGGGGGGGCTTCAGGAGGGAGCCGCGCGCGTAGCTTGCCCGCTCTCCTCCCTTCTTACC